ATTGTTTTTCTTTGTTGTTAGCTGGTATGCCGTTCAAAAATATATCTGTATCAACTACTGAAGAACTGAAAATCAGTGTTATAACAAAGGCCACCTTCACGAAAGCTGATTACCTGTTGGTATTCTGAATTAATAAGAGAAAAATTATATTCGTCAATAATTGTTGTTCATTTAGCCATCCATGTTTAGAAAAATTAATGAATCTGAATCTAGAAAAAAGAGTACAAACCGAAAAGTTCACCCCGAAAAGTTACAGACAGCTCTATTTAGGATGTTTTATATACTTAGCTTATTTGAAATGTCGTTTTGGAAAAAATATCTTTCTTTTTCATATCCTCTACAAGTATTAGTGAAAAAGCATCGATTGAAAATATATAAATTTACTTTCAGAGAAGTTTTTAAGGAAACTATGGTATGAAATTGTTTCAGTCATTTACTTCATTTATAGACAAAATTTATAAATATATTTTTCTGGCTAAGTAGACTCAGCTTTTTAGCGCGGAATGGCTCCGTTAAAACTCCGTTAAATACATGAGAAGGTTGAGATTCGTTTTTTGCGAAAGCTTCGTTCTTGCGAAAGCAAGGTCCCGTTACAACGCCACCAATAATGGTATCAACTTTTTATCACTGTCGTTGGCAGGTTTCAATCTAATATGAAGTTCTTTCAATCTGACAAAGTTCAATATTTTCATGAATTAAGGGTCTCTTAATAATTTGAATTATTTCTGTCGAATATTTGAAAAGCATGCAAATTGTCGTTTTTATCGAAGAGAATAGTTTCAGTTCGAGCATAACACTTTTTAATTATTGGCGTTGTGGGGCTTTCAACAAGAATAGTATATTTGTAGCACGGACAGTTTTTATTGAGACCATTAACTTCTGATTGAAATAACTGTTGTGATAATGAAACTAATACCTAATTGTCACTTCTTCATAATATATGCACCTTTGTCCACTACCATTATTGATCAATAAAAACATATATGATTACAACCTATTTATTTTAAGAATAATTGATATATTTTTTCTGTACTAAACCGAACCTTCTTCAACACAGGTACCTCTTTTATATTATTATAACCCAAACCTTCCGTTTCTACCCCCAAGGTCATGTTTTAAAAAGCACTCCAGGCGCCAATCTGACTGGCGGAATTTATTATTATGAAAATTTTCATTTTGGAGAGGGGTAAGGTTCAATAACCAATAGATATTTGAAACATGTGTGTAATTTTTTCAAATAAATTGAAATCATTTCAATTGTAAAATAGTGCATTTGTTTAGAACAGAATGTCATTAAGTATGATCTCGGTCTCTATATATTTTTGTGAATCCCAAATGCCTAATTAGGTAATAAATATAGATAAAATTTGGTTGAGATACATACAATAACTAAAGAACTAACTAAAATAGATGCATTTCATCTTTTGTACATTTTTTTTCAGATTGGTGAGCTTTTGAAAATGACCTATTTTGTTGACGGGGCATTTAGTGTATACTAACCGTGCAGTACGATCTCTGTTGAGATCGAAAGTAAGTAAATATATGCATTGGCAAATAGCCGTCAACAATGATTATGATAGTGGTCTGATACATTCTTTACTATCAAAGAAGTTATACAGTCAAGCTTTGAAAGAAGTTTACCCAGTTCGAAGAGAAGAGGATAAAAGTTATAGAACCTTAACCTACTTAGGCCAACCCACTACAAATATTTCAGATTTTCTACACAGCAAAGGTGTAAATAATGCTTTCAAAACCAACAACAACTTGGGCATACACATTGAAAATAACAAAGATAAAAGTTCAGTTTCAGAAAAGTCAGGAGTGTATAAATTATCGTGTGGGTCATGTCTGATGTTTTATATAGGTCAAACTGGAAGAACGTTCAAAACCCGCATAAAGGAACACAAATATAGTTTTCAGAACGGAAAAATAAATTCCACATATGCCAGTCATCTAATATCAGAGGGAAACCTAACCTGTTAGAGGTTCTCAACATCTTAGAACAATCAAACTGAATTGAATAATTCGCCATTATTGAATCTGTTCATTCACAGGTAAAAATAGTTAGGTATATTCACAGGTAGACTTTAGAGATACCTGTCTTTTTCAGGTATATATCAGGACTTTATCAGGTAGATTTATCACTTAGGTAGACGAATAGGTACTAGGTTATAGTATATAAGTTTGTAATTTAGAAGTAACTCTCAGTTATGCTTGAAAAAGCTATTATATAGCGAAACACGTGTCGCGGTTTTTGTAAAAACCTTATAGTGAAAATCATGCAATAAACTCTATTGATTAGTTTTTTTAATATGGATTTTCATCAAGTATCGACCAGTTTTATTCAATTGCGTTATATTTCTTTAGACAAACGAATTTTTTGCTTTGTTGAAAAAAGTGAACCGAAATTTCATGTTCTCATTCAAAATCAAGTATACATTAACACCATATGTGATTTTTGTAGTTGAAAGATTCTCATGAAATTGAATTCTACGATTGATATTAACTGAATTTTAATCGAACAAATAACATAAACTCGTATCAATATCATACCCAAATTGGTATGATCCAACAACTTTCCTACTGAAAGAACTGAAGGGGATACTGGACGAGCATATCAGATAGACATAGGTCAGCCACACATTTTTCTGAAGAGAGAGGCTGGATGAGCGTACCGAAACTTTGGCAATACAAGGCGATATGTGATGAAACGTTGATCTTAAAAAACCCTGAACGTATGGAGTACGTTGATTAGTACGTTGATTAGAAAATGATCTCAACTTTTTTCTGATAACTAGGGAAATATGTATACTTATATTTGTCAAAGATTATTCAAATCAGTTATTGTATTGATAGATCTATCCGCCTTGTTAATCAAAACACCTCTAGAAAAACTCCCTTGATTCGTTCACTCCCAAAGTACGTAATAAGCTCGTTTGAAAAAAAATCAACTGAAATCTAAGATTTTTCTGTTGGTAACACCAACATTGTATGTAACTTTTGTAATAAGTATTTGTATATTTTCCAGTGTGAATAAACGTTATTATTATATCTTGATGCCTACAAATTGGTTGCGAACTCTTGATTCTATTCTTTATCATTTGCTTCGAAAACATTTTTTGTTAATGTCATATTCTAAACAACAGCAAATTCAGCAATAGTAGTTGGCTAACTTTTACCATGTTAAAATTCGAGCCCAAGTTGTCAATGACAGGAAATAAGAAAGTCTCCAGATGAACGGGTAAGATAAAATAGATCATACGTATATTAATACGAACTTTTTTTGAACTTGTGTGTGACTAATGTTTCCGTTTTCTTCGAAAACCACTATTTTGTAGTAAACTAGGACAATATGACTTGCTAGATTGAGTAACCATTGGTGTAGAAAACGGGAAAGATTTAAAACAAGTATTCCACTTATTAATGGCGTACGCAAAATGTTATTCCAGGGACTGAATCTTCACACAGAAAAATTGTCATAATTGTTTTGAATATTTGAGGAGTTCGAATAATCCACGAAAATATTAAATAAGTGGTTTGACATTACTTTAAAAAAAAGGTCATTTGTAGGAGTTTGTACTCAAGTCGAATTCAAGTTTGAATAGAATAACAATAATTTTCTCCAATACCTAGATGAGAAAAAGTAATGTCTTGTATTAAATGCAGCTGTCACAACTATTGAGAGAAGCATGCCAAGTGAAAAAGAAAATGTAAATACACAAAGAAGAGTGATCCTGAACAATTCTCCTGGCATAAATACAAGACCTTGAAATGAAATAGTCATATCTACAACCTGAGGAATAATAATAATGGTAATAAAGGTTTTCATTGCTACTAACAATACAGCAATAATAAATATACACAAGCTTTACAGCAATATTGAAAAAAAGGTAGAATAGAAAAACAAATAAAAATAACATGCACTGACACGACTGAGGAAAACGCAACAATCCACACATGACAATAAACATTCAAATATCAGTAAAAACTAGTAATCTATTGAAAAGAGAAATGAAAATTTCTATGTTTTTTACCACTTTTATTTGTAACTAACGTTACTGCAGTTTCGTCCTATACGTCCTATAACGTTAGTCACAAATAAAAGTGGTAAAAAACAGAAATTTTCATTTCTCTTTTCATTATCATAGTAACGGCTACATCCATCAATTTATAGTAATCTATTGTTAATCACCTATCTAACACGAGGTCTTTTTTATTATTCTTAAGGAAAAAAGAGACAATAGGTGCATTTCGACATTAAAACAATTCATTGGAAAAGCTGGATCAGCAAGGCAAGGTTTTGTGCATGTGAGCCTCTGAATTTTTGGTGAAGAGATATGGAGGTTTCTACAACAATTTGGATAAAGACTTCTTAGGCACAATTCTCCATTTTAAATGAAGTTCGTTCCAAACTGCATTAGAACGAAAACAATAACTGAAGCAACAGCCGAATCGTCATCCATAAAAAACCTGCAGGCCACGGCCAAAAAAACCGGAAAATGGCGTTCACAGAGTTATTTCCGGTCGTGAAAGTTTACATTCTTTGCGTTTACTGTATATTCACCTTGCTAGTATCAATCTCATTACTGAAAACTGGTCAAATATTGAAATGTATTTCTTATTGAAGATTTGACAAATATTTCATTGTACTATATTGAAAAACGATAGAATAGCGCTTTTACACGTAACCATATAATTGGTACCGGTTGCACGTTAAATTTTCAATTTCGTTCAAATCAGTCAATTCACCACTAAATTCATAAAAAGTAACTACCTATAATCACTATTAGTTTATAATCATGGATCGGGAACTTTTCTTTTCTCCTTTAGTTTTTCAGTCACATCGATTCCTGACTAAAAACTGTTAACTGAACCCTTCAAAATTATATCGTCGTACGCCAATAGCCTGGACCTTGAAACTGCTTTTAACTTGATGTTTTTTCTACCCATCTACGCGGATACATTTTAAAATTCACGGTCAAATAAAGGATAGTAAAACGTGAGTCCCCAGTTAAATTTCAAAGCGTTTCGTTGTTTGACCATAAAAAATATATTGCAGAGTGCTCATTTTAGTTGTTTTGTTTTGTTTGGTCCAATGAGGTTTCTCTTACGTAGAATAAACAGTTGTGATACAGATGCACAAATTTTGTTTCAAAATATAGTCCATATCCTGCAACTTGTATTTTTTTTTCAAACAGAAGCATATGCCGATTAATAAAATATTATTTGAAAGGTAATATTTATTAATTTTATTGTTTATTTTCTAGGGGTCAGATAAATGGTATGTTAAAGAAATTTGGAGTTTTGAAATTTTTTAGGGTCCATGCAAAAGGTTGGTAAGTACATTTTGTTCGGCGGTGTGTACGAATTTCAAAGTTGGGGATATTCGTAAAACTGGATAAATACGACGCACCTTCAGAAATCGACTTCCAGGAGAAGCGGTCAATGAAAGTATTTCCTATACGGAATGTGCTCGTTTTCATAAAAAAAAATTGAAATTTAAATCACGTTAAGTCCAAATCAACTGAGCGAGAGTTCTGAAAAAATAAATACATCTGAAAGGATTGTAGAGAGATGGAAGCAGGTTTTTCAGAATTGAAAAAAAATTAAAAATGAAGGATTGAGAACAGTATGATAATTAAAATGATTACAAGAATCATGTCAAAATTCAATTACACACTGTGACCAGTAAAATCCCTATCTCCTTTACTAAGAAATTCATTCAAAATTTGATTATGGCATCAATATCTACTTCGATTAGAATGTAAAGTAACAAGAATAGTCTCATTCAATTCGATTTAATGAAGAGAAACATAAAAAGTGACCCTGAATGCAATTTTAGGTCTTCTGAAAAATTTGACCATTTTTGCAAAATGCGACCTAATACAAACATCATAAAACTTTTTCAGTTCAGCACCACAATGAATGTGCGTTTTTCTACAAAATTCAAACAGGGCTATTGTTTTTGACCTCATATAAGGCAACTTAATGAAATGATTTAAAAAGGCAGTTTCTGTTAGTTCGAGTTCAACTTTACGGAATGTTTATCTAATTTTAGTGATTCAGTTTGAAACTCCTTTAACAAAATTCCCTTGCCCATTTTTTCATGACGAATGAAGTAGAAAGTAATACTGAAGTCGTATTTCGAATAAAGCTATTAATTTACATGAATAGTTTTCATCAAATATTATAGAGGTCGAAAAATAACTGAATTGATGGAAAAATAAATGTAATGAAAACTACATTTCATTGCGGTGTTCAGAACTTTTGATAAAGCAGTTTCGAAAAAGGGATTGTCTATCTAAATCAAAACACTATTCCCATACACATAAGTAGCAACTTTTTTGGGGATTACCTGTGTTTCTCTCCACGAAAGACACCCTAAATAAAATTAAACAAGAATCCAATTTATCGAAGAAAGGTTGGAGATTTGTCTCTCTTCTAAAGATACTTTCACTAATTCTTTACTCTAAAACTGGTATTGATATGAATTTATAGGTAGAAATTTCACTAGTTCGGACTTCCAGTGTCTACTATATAAACTGATTTGAAATCCCTGAAACAACTAAAAAAGAAGAATTAAAAATGAATAGCTGAAAAGAACAATTATATTAAGCAAAAAAACCTGAAATGAAATAGTGAAATAAAATACAAGTAAAAATAGAACAATTGAACAAGAATAAATAAAAATGAAGAAATGAAAGAAGAAAATAAAAATAAAGAGTTGAGAGATTCCAAGTCACGTTAGTTCACGACGTTTCGATTGTTAGTATCTCAAATCGTCTTCGGGTGATGACTGGACTGATTCCCCCGAGAGATGACTAATTATAGGTCGTTCGAGTAATTTCACTTATCCCCGCTTTCCATTTTCCGTTTCACTGATTCCGTGAGAGATGACCGTTTGGCGGGAGTTGGCCATTTTTCGCTTGATGATGGGTTTCCATATGTTGCGTATTTCTACGCTGGCTTGGCTGAATAAGTTGTTGGACAACGTATGCGGCTTCCTTGAATTTTCTCCTAAACCAATGTTCCTCTCTGTGCAAGATCTCAGCTTGGGACCACTCGATGTTGTGTTGATGGGTCCAAACATGGTCTGCTATTCCTGATTTGCTGGTTTCCCCTCGCTGTGTGTGTTTCTTATGCTCGGCAATGTGAACATTCAATGGCCTCTTAGTTTCACCAATATAGGATTTTCCGCACTCACAGGGTATTCGGTAAATGCAATTCTTGGAATCGCAGTCCGCGTTTGGTGGCCTGGTTTTCGTGAGGCTGCTATGGATAGTGTTACCGGATCTGAAGCAGGTTCTGATGTTGTACTTGGAACCAATTGGTCTCATCTTCTCCGATGATCCTTTAATGTAGGGAAGTGCAAGCACTGATTGTGGCGGCTTCTCTTCCTTGCGAGGCTCCTGCTGTCTTTTAGCCAAAGTCTTTTCTAGCCATTCCGTTGAAGATCATTTTTGATGATGTCTAGTTCCTTCTCGAGACCTTCCTTCGTAATACAGAGCCCAAAAACACGGTATAATAGAGTCTTGATGATTCCTCTTTTAGTCGATTGATGATGGTTGGATTCGTGGTTCAGCTACTGTCCCGTATGAGTGGGTTTTCGGCATACAGATGTTTTCCACTTAGTGTTGGTCCTCTTCACCAAAACGTCTAAGAATGGCAATTCGTTGTGGATTTCCTTCTCCATTGTGGAAGTGATGGAAGGTCTCACGCTGTTGATGTGTTTCAGGAAGGCGTCTAGTTCAGTATTCCCATGGTTCCATATTATGAAGGTGTCGTCAACATATCTCAACCAGACTCGAGGTTTCTTGTGGGCTTCTTCAATGGCCAGAGTTTCAAACCACTCCATATATATGTTGGCTATGACTGGTGAAAGTGGCGATCCCATTGGCAGTCCCTCATCTTGTGTAAAAAATTCGTCCTTCAGTTGGAAATAACAGTTTCGTACACAGCATCCTAGTAATTCCATTACTTCTATAGGTAGATTCGTTCTCTGTTTCAGGTTGCCGTCTTTGGATAGCTTTCTCTGTATGATTTGGAGTGCTTCTTCGACCGGAACGTTGGTGTAAAGGCTTTCCACGTCGAAACTACTTAGTTGATCTTCCTGTGTGACCTCAATTGACCCTAGTAGTTCAACAAAATGCCTTGAATTCTTCACAAAAAACGATGTTTTTCCTTGTAAAGTTTGTAATGGTATGATTTGGAGTGCTTCTTCGACCGGAACGTTGGTGTAAAGGCTTTCCACGTCGAAACTACTTAGTTGATCTTCCTGTGTGACCTCAATTGACCCTAGTAGTTCAACAAAATGTTTTCAATTCTTCACAAAAGACGATGTTTCTCCTTGTNTCCTTGTAAAGTTTGTAATGGTATGATTTGGAGTGCTTCTTCGACCGGAACGTTGGTGTAAAGGCTTTCCACGTCGAAACTACTTAGTTGATCTTCCTGTGTGACCTCAATTGACCCTAGTAGTTCAATAAAATGCCTTGAATTCTTCACAAAAGACGATGTTTTTCCTTGTAGTTGTTCTATCATAGGTAGAAAGTTAAGTTGCGAGTTGTGAAGATTTTACTATCACTCCATGCATCTTCGTTGTATCCATATATCGAAAACTATTGAATATTTGAGGGATGTTCTACGGGTCAATGGAGCACTTATCGAGAACTGCATATAATCAACAAAAATCTACAATGAACAAAATTGTTTCGGTTTAGTTCAGTTTTCAACTCTTCCTAGAGACAGCACGAAGGCAAGGAACGTACGTGAGCAGATTTGAATTGGAAGCAAAAGATGAGTTAGATTACTCTCCACGAACTTGAAGCCATATGGAGATGATATATTTGCGATTTTTGACACAAAGAAATCTAAGGTAAAGACTATGTTTCAACTGTTAACAACAGATCTTCGAATATTAAATTCACATAGAGCATTGAACAGAGCAAGTAGTTATAATTTTTTAATGTCTTAGTGATTATAAATAAGGTCCAGAATTTGATGTGAATGGGAAGAATACCAGTACTTTCTCATCAAATGATTCGTTACATTCCCCTTGAGTAACAACTAAGTAACTTGAATTGTGAAACATGCGTCGGGAAGAGTGTTGCAGTTTTAATGTTTGCAAACAGTGCTTTTTTTTGTTTTTATTCTATACCAAAGGTTCCAGTTCTACCTTTCATTTCCGCATTGAATAGTGATGCCGGTGGGGGGGGATAATCCCCATTATCCTTCATAAACCCGCCCTCGGTATAGAGAAAGAATACGCCGAGAGAGGCACCTAATCAATGAAATGCAAATAGTGAAAGATTTGATATTCGAATCCACACCCAATAAATACCACAAGGATACCAATTTATCTATTAACCGTACACCATTTCCAGGAATAAGTAAAAATACTTTTCATAGACAGAAAGTCTTCTTATTATCTGACGGGTCCCCTCAAGTTTATCGCTGAGTAAACATAAAATGTTTGAAGAGATAAACCGTCCAGAATATAAACGAAATATTTGTATACTCTAGAGGCAAATAAACCGTTTTTAATTTTCCCCTTATCTTCAAAAATAGTGATAAGATGAAATGCGTTCACTTTAGGATGTGTTATCAGTTCAAGGAGAAAATATGGTTGGTAAATCATTCATTCTGACAATATAAACCATATACAGGATGTGAGAAATGTGAATCAATTAATATCAATTATAATACTTAACCGATTTATATTCCAACGAAAAATATTTTTGTGTTCCTCTTTTATACAGTGCCTTTTTCAGTGAAAGGACAGTCGAAAATATATGAATGGATTGTAGCCTGATAATTTTGGTAACTAGGAATATTGTTATTATTCATAATTTTTATTCAGTAAAACAATCCATACAAGGAAATTATATAAATTTTAAGGGGTATATTTTCAGTGGAGACTAAATCTTGGGGAAAAAACTGTTTTGGCTTCTTACTTCTCCATCTTTATACAAACAAAAATGTGGGAATCTGCCAAATCAAGAAAAAAAGCAATTCACTTCAAAATAAATACTTAACAAAGATGTGTAGTTCATGCAAAGAAGTAACTTTCAGAGACAAACTGGAAGAAAAAGCTTCTTCTTCCAGTTTCTTTCCACATTTTTTTCGTAGAAAGCCAAAATCTTCGTTTCAAAAAAAAATTGTCAAATTATATTGAATTATTTGTCAAACCGAATATAAATTAGTTGTGCTCGAAACTATTAGTAATATTACGAGTAGGTAATGGTTGTATTTTTCTTCAACGAAAATATTCTTGTGCTCTCTCTAATTAACATAAAAAAGCCTCTTCATCATTGAAAATCAATGATGTAGCCAATATTTCCAGTGACGAATGAGAATAATCTTTTTCGAAATGATTTTCCGATATCATTTACATTAAAAATTCTTTATTGAATGTAAAAACAACCTGTGGTTCAAATCTGTTTGAACCACAAAACAAAGTGATTCCATTTTAAACTAAATTGCTCTCTTCCTCCCTTCGGAAGTTTCCCTCATTTTTATATAAAAACTAATTTTTCCTGAAAATATACAGGGCGTTCCTTAAACACATGCTAATATTTAAGGAGGTAATTCTTAGACCCATTTTAAGAAA